ATAATCATTCAGGTGCATGTGTAATAACTTGCGAAAACTTGACGCTGCAACAGCACTTCTTCATGAACTCAACCAAGCGATCTAACCATGACCTCGCCCCTCCCCAACCATTAGAATTTCCGTAGGCGGGAATTATTTTAATGATATTCTAATGGGCTGCTTTGTGACATCACAAAACCCGGAAAACAACGCTGTAGTCCAACTGAGCCGTTCATTGTAGTTCTTGAAAAGGGATTTTTTTGTCTCCCTTTGGAGTGGACTTTGAGATTTGTAACTTTGTAGATCTTTTTTATGCCCAAACATACACACTACACACTGCCCTCTCCACCCCCCAACCATTAGAATTTCCGTAGGCGGAAATTATTTTAATGGTATTCTAATGGGCCGCTTTGTGACATCACAATACCCCGGCAAACAATGGTGTAGTCCAAACGAGTCGTTCGTTGTAGTTCTTGAAAAGGGATTTTTTAAAAACGAAATATCTCCCTTTGGAGTGGACTTTGAGATTTGTAACTTTCTAGATCTTTTTTTATGCCCAAACATACACACTATGTGATATGACTATACTATGACAAGCCCCGTGAAGCCGTGGTTTACAGTAAATGTATAACAGCTAAGGGGCGTTGTTAGGCATGACGCAAAGCGGAGTGCCTAAAATCCCCTTAGCTGTTATAAATTTACTGTAAACCACGGCTTCACGGGACACTGCTTTTATAAAACAGTTATTCCATATACGTAGCAAGGTTTCACAAAATAAAACAAAGCAAATAAAATGTAATGGTATTAATAAAAACATTATTCTTCCGCCAAACAATGTAGTTCCTCAGAAACGGTTGTGGTTGCAACAAAGTGGTTGCGCCAAACAATGTAGTTCCTCAGAATCGGTTGTGGTTCCAACAAAGTGGTTCAGAATCAAGGACCGGAACGCTCCGTTTTATAAATCGGGACTTTTCCCATCAAACACACTGTTTTTACATCCTCTCTTATTTTAAAGAGCTCATAGATGTCTTTTTATGGCTGTGCAGAATCCAATCTGGGCGGGTGAAGTATGGCTCTAATATTAGCCTAACCCAGAAAATCTATTTATTTACACTAGAGCAGCAGGATGTGGCCGTAACCCTGCCGTCCTCAAGCTTCTCCATCGTTTCTATATGAATCTTTAAACATGCCGCCCATACATCACACTAATGAGAGAAAAAGAGAAACATTTCAGATGTGTCCACACTCAAAATTACTCACTTATGGATTGAAAATGTAAACAGCGGGTAAATATTTGGCTTTCAGACTAATCAGAGAGTGTATGTAATGTTTTGAGGCTCTGCTCCTCGACGTCTGACCTGAAACATGAGACTCGGCTGTATATGAGAATGTGGCTGTTTATACTGCGAGTCTTTCCTTTAAATACATATTTATCCGTACAGTTCATACATGAAGGACGCAGCGATGACATCTGGAGTTCAAGCAATTCTAGGAATATTCTGTGGCTGTTAAACTGCATCACTTACAATTACATTTGCATTGATGCATTTCCCAGATGCTTTTATTCAAAGCGACTTGCATTGCATTGAAGGTACAGTATGCATTTGATCAGTCCTCGCTTTCCCTGGGAATCAAACCCATGTCTACCAATAGCATTATTAGATGATTTTTAAATGGTCAAAATGACAAACTACTTTAAAGTAGGCTACAGAAACCTCAATGAGATGCTCTGCTGTGTAAATAAGCTTCTGTTGCACCATGTATGAACACAGATCACAGTAAGAGTATTTGCTGACATGTTGGATTGAGAGAGGGATGATTGGATACGATCAGCATCTGTTTACATGTGATATGACTATACTATGACAATATTAAATGCACAAATATAGAGGCAATAGAATAAATCTCTAGATTTACACCGGTCTGTCTGTCAGGCATGTTTGTGAGCAAATTAAACAAACAGCTCATAATTCGGTCACATTTGTTTACTTAACCTAATTAGCCTCTGTTAAAGAACTAACGTTCATAATACAAATGAGAAAGAGCAGCTGAATGAACCAGTCAGCTTGTTTTAATGTGTGAAAAGCCAAATTAATTAATATGATAATTGTTTTGATCAAATATGACACTATGTGAAACGGTAAGATTCTGAGCATAAAGAAAAACATATTTATATAATGTATATACATACTGTATACTGTAGTAATAATAATAATAACAACAATAAATGTATATAAATAATCATTCTAATGATATATATATATTATTACTACTAATAATAAAATATATAAATATAAAGCAAAAATAATATTTATAAAATTATAGATAGATTGATAGATATAGATATACACTATAAATAATTTTATGTAATAACAACTATATTTATTATTATTATTAGTATTATAACTAATAATAATCTGAATTAATATAATAATATAAATGTAACAATTAAATATATAATAACAATTTTACATTATTATGAATAATATTTTATTAATAAAAATTAAAAAGTATATATAATATATAATTTATTTTATAATTTATTAAATACAAAAATGAAAAATGTAAAAGGCTAAAAAAAACAAAAACAATTAAGAACAATTATTTAAATAGTGATTTCTCAACCGTTTTCATGAGATTTGCTTTAAAAGGCTTTAAACGCTCTGTTTTGTAATCTGGACGGTTGGCTGATGGTATGTGATTGTGCGGGTGGATCTGTCCTGTGTTTTAATTGGTGGGACGAGCAGACGATCTGCTGCGCTGCAAGTTTCTTCAGTACTCAAGCACCTCCTGCCGCTATCGCTGGGAGAAGAGCGTCAGGCCTC